TTCCCTTCCACCACCAGGGGTCACCCTGGATCTCTGCCCCTCCTTGCCCTCCCCTCCAACGCTACCTACTCTCTTTTCCTTGCCTTTCCAGGAACAAGATTCTGATTTTTGGGCTCCTGGAGGAGACAGCACTGGCGGCCTTTCTGTCCTACTGCCCGGGCATGGGTGTGGCCCTGCGCATGTACCCGCTCAAGTGAGTGTCTCTTTAGACGGGGCCCCTGCTAGAATTCAAGTTCTGGTCCCTTTGAAGCAACCTCTGATGCTCTTGACACTCTCCTCTGTTTCCTCAGGGTCACCTGGTGGTTCTGCGCCTTCCCCTACAGTCTCCTCATCTTCATCTACGATGAGGTCCGAAAGCTGATCCTGCGGCGATATCCAGGTGGTAAGCACCTCGGCGCTGCGCCCCGACCCCAGCAAAGTGCAACTCCCCACTGTGGCTACCTACCCCTGCAGGGCTCCAAACCCGAACTCCATTCCTACTACGGATCCTTGCTCCTTTTCCTCAGTGCCCTCGGATCCTCGGGTCCGGGGTCCTAGGAGCCCTGACTCTGCTGAAACTCTTCCTCCCAGATTCCCGTCCCACCCAACACACAACTGGTCTCTGAGGCCCTCCGCCTTCCACCTGAAATCACAGAACATCAGAACTAGAAGGGCCCTCCAAGGTCATCTAGTCCCACCTCCACATTTTACAGACAAAGAGAGGGGCAGAGGTGAATTTATTCGTTCAGGGTCATAGAGCCAGAAGCAGCAGAAGTGGCACTACAACCCAGCCCTCCTAATTCCCAGTCATCAAACATGTTTTGTTTTTTTTCCCAACAAGCATTTTTGATCACTTACTGGAGGTTGAAAATGGGTGGTCCACAAGCCAAATAGGGTCCGTGGATATTGTTTGGTTTGGCTGCCCTATCTTGCACGGGTGTTTTTTTTGTTTGTTTGTTTTTCAATTGGCCTAATATCTAAAACTTAGGGGCTTTCTCATAAAATCCAAGTTTCTGGCTTCTCCTGCAAAATCACAGGCGCTGTCAATCCCAGGGCCCAATTTCTGGGCAGCAACAATGGACGGCTGCCCTTTAGAACCTCACTTGTTACCTGAACAGCCCCTGTTGCCATTTGTGTTTTCACCCCCAACCAAACCACCCCCGGCCCACCGTCCCCTGTACTAAATGCAAGTCTCTCCTTTCCCCTAATCCATGGCCTCATGGAGTCCCCTCCCCCACTCCCCTTCCACAGCTGCTTTCCTCAGCCCCTTCCCCAGGCTTCTGTTCCGCCTGGCCTCGACCATCAAGCCCCTAGGGCATTTATCTCCTGTCTCCTCCAAGCTCACCCTGCAACGCCCCTGCCTAATCTCTCTAACAGGCTGGGTGGAGAAGGAGACGTACTACTGAACCCGTTGGAAAGAAGAGCCAAGCATGGGAAAGACAGGGGAGACGGGGGGGGGGG